TATATATATATATATATATATATATATATATATATATATATTAGAAATGTTGCTTTGGAAACTAACTGAAATAGATTCAAGATTACTAAAAGTAAAACTGATATAAAAAAATAATAATAAAAAAGAAAACTAAACAATATGAAAATAAAAGCTATTTCAAAACATTAATAAATACTAGTATAAATAATACTAAAATAACACTGGTTTGACCTCATGTGTGTCACCATCTCTGGCTAAAGACATTAATAGTCCAACTTGAACACAGAAAACTAACCCAGTGTAGCTGTTTTAACGGTTTCTTTGCACAATGACAAAATCTATATCTTTAAAGCTTAATTGTGCCAAATGGCCAAGAGCTGCCAAACAGCCTCTCGAGAGGATCATTGCAGTGTAAAAGTGTATCAGTGCGTGTGTGGAGGTAGAAATAAAGTTGTAATGTACCTCTAGAAACTTTAGGAAAGCAGGCTTGGCTTCCTTGGCGATTCTCACTGCGTCTTTGGCGTTCATGAAGTTGTCGATGTACGCTGAATAAATATTGGCGAGGATCTCTTTGGAAAACTGTGAGGAGAAAGCCGAGACATTAGCAGCACTGAACAGATCAGCTGTGCACCTTTACAAACTCAAATCACTGATAGAAACCTTTTTGAGGAGCAATATTGGCCTTCGAGAATTTTGAAATGTTACCATGTTCAAAAAAACGATACCAAGGTGCTTTTTGTTACTCAAATGGCTTCCTATGTGATAGTAGGACAACATTGAGTATTATTTTAGTCAACGGATGGTGTGTGTGGACAGACAGTCCTCAAATAAATCTCTTTAGTGGGTCGTGAGGAGTGACAGCAGTGGTATATCAGTTCGCATTTGAACATTAAAAGTACACATGAAAATAAAAATGTCATAGTTTATGTACTGCCAGCCGATGCTCAGGTTTCCTCATGTCTAGTTTGTAGTTGTACATTAAAGTGCACATGAATGTAATATAACAAGCGTAATATAAATAATTTGATATTTTAGATGATCAAATAAGGTGAATGGTTTTTCTGTTTTGTTTTTGGTCATCCTGACTTCAGCATGTGACTTGGGTTGTATGTTATTTAATAAAAGTAATAAAACAATACAATGCTCCTTTCTTGCAGTACAAAAAGTTAAAACCTTTCTGCCACAATGCTAAGTGTGTGTGTATGGGGGAATCAAATCAAAGTTTGTAATGTTAAGATGCATCTCAGTGCTTTTTAAAGTCCCTATGGAAAAAACGAATGAGAAAAATGTCTCTCAGAACCATAAAAACCATCAGAATCATTACAAAACAACAATGAAAACACTAAATTACACTCAAATTACAACATGAGCGTAGGCATGGAGCATAAGAGACATGAGCATTTAATGTCATAGGGTTCAGTCCAGCCCTAAAGCAACACAGATCCTTAAAGAAACTCATAAAACTGTATTACAGTGTCTAAACGAGCAGCGGATCTCGCTGCTAACTACCTGAGTTTGTCGACTCATTTACTCAGTGCTCATAAAAATTCTGCATTTGATGTGAGAACGTGAATCTGACAGGAACGTCTAAACAACACTGAACTAGTGGTGGTCAGGTGGTTTTAGACAGATTAAAACCCCACACTGAGACACTCAGCGTTCCTTCAGCTTATACTCAACAAACTGTTAGGCTGCGTCACAATTAGCATACCTACACAGCACACTAAAAGTGATGGGAAAGTACATAGACTAGAGTTTGGGCTCGGTAAGATTTTAAAAAATAAGTTTTTTATGTTCACCAAGGCTGCATTTATTTATTAAAAATACAGTAAAAATGGTAAAAATTTTAAATGATTATAAATAATTATTAATATTTTAATAATTATTATTCATATTATAATTATTATTATATATAAATTATTACAATTTAAAATAACTTTTTTCTATTTTAATATATTTTAAAATGTAATTTATTCATGTGATCAAAGCTGAATTTTCAACAGCATTACTCCAGTCTTCAGTGTCACATGATCACCGTTTATTAGCAATGTTGAAAACAGTTTTGCTGCTTCATATTTTTGTGGAAACTGTGCTATATTTTATTTTCAGGATTCTTTGAAAGTTTAAAAGCATTTATTTGAAATAGCTATGTTCTGTAAAATTATAAATGTCTTTACTGTCACTATTGAGCAGTTTAATGTGTCCTCGCTGAACGAAAGTATTAATTTTTCAAAACTTTTGAATGGTAGAGATGATACTTAAGGTAAGACGAGGACCTAGCAGCAGGAGAAATGGTGTGTGTGTGTGTGTGTGTGTGTGTGTATTTGTGAAGGACAGAGCATCACGACAGCACAGACCCCAACAATGTAAGTCCGGTGAGGTGAGACGGTGTGGAATCTATGTCGGCTAATAAGCTGACATCTCTTTAGGATGGAAAACAAACGTCTGTCAATACCGTCTGAGAGGAGACCGCGGTTGAGCGGCTCCAGCCTAGCGTTCTCATGCACTAGCGGAGCGGATCTCTGGCTAAATGCACCACCCTTGTGTGTGGCCAATTACAGAGGATGGATGACATCATCATTATGAGACAAGGCGTTAATGTAAAAATAGCAGGAAGCGAAGAGTATTTAAATATCTCTTGCTTACAGCAAAATCGAAATTGATTTCTGAACCAGGTCTTAAAGGCTGTAAACTTACTTGGGAGTTGGGACATTTAAGTAAGGAATGTGATAAACACACACACACACACACACAAAATAAATCCACAGCTGCACACGTCTACTATGCACTTCACTAGTTATAGGAGAGTACACACTTCTGAGTCTGTAGTAAAATCGTAAGTCAGTATTGGGACATGCTATGATGTCAAACAATAGTGTTTTGATTCAGACCAGTGTTTACATAACTTATTTATTAAATTATTATCTTAAATGAATTACCTTAAAATTCAGCATTTTCTAAACTTTTTTCAGGTTCAGCTAAATGCTTCAGTTTTGAGGTCTTTGCCATTTTTCAACACATCAATAGAGAACCATCATAACTTCACCTCTGTGTCACAAGGAGTTGCAGGTAACAGTATCTCGCACGGATGAACACTTCAAACATCCACTAGAAGTACTACAACATCCACCGGTAGTCGGGCCCTATGAGATTAGCTTTATTTTCCCCAAATTCTATGTTTTCAATTTTATTTGTAATTTTTATTATTTTGCCCCAGCCCATATAAATCAAATAAAAAATCAGAATAATAATAACATAAAAAAACACACACACACACTCTAGAAAGGCTACATTACATTACCTCAAATAATTATTACCTAAAAGGAATTAAAAGAGATAGAAATTAGAAAGTAAAAAAAAAAGGATTGACTGGATTGACATTATACTATGGTCATAAACATGATACTTAAAAAAAACATGTTATTACTATAGTACAAGTCCAAAAAACACACCAATATCACACACACACACACACGCGCGCGCACACACACACACATGCCCTGTTGGCACACAGAAGTGTGTCTGTGTTTTGACAAGCATACATCTGGCCAACGTTCTTCTAGCACTTCAAATGCTCTAAAACGTGCCCAGAGACACGCCAGTGCCATGATCAAGCGCTCTCGTCTGTCATCCGTTCGTCCGTCCATCCGTCCACATTCACACCTTGAAGCTGATTAACCTGCGCTTGTGCTTTTCTCTCATTGTTGGTTCAGGTTCGACCGCTGCATGCCATTTACAAGTAATGATTTTGACTGGAACACAATCATTTACCCCAAAGCTAACCGCTTCCTTTAACACAGAACGAGAGCAGTAATGCTGGTGAGAATTGCTCAGTAATGGGCCATTTTGGAGGTGCGCTGGGCGATCGAGCTCAAACACTGCTGCGCTCCAGGACTCGCTCACCTTGTTGCCATGGCAACCGCTGCACAATGACCAGAAAACATGGCATTACCCATTGTAAATGTCCAAAAAAATAATTTATTACATGGTAAATGTAAAAAACAAACAAACAAACCCGGTATTACTAAGATAAATGACAAAGAGAGATGGTATTACTATGGTGAATGTCTAAGAAGAAGCATGACCCTAATAAATGCCCAAAAACATGGTATTACTAAGGTAAATGTCTAAAAACATTGTTCTACCATAGCATTTTCAGTAAAACAATGAAGGAACAAATGAATGAACAAACAACTGAACAAGCTGTATACTTCCTACAACGTAAAAAAAAACTATATTTCCCAGACATCAACATTTCCCAACAATTCTATTTCTAATCAGTACCATATTCTAATTTTCTCTCCATTTCTCTGTTCTTTTCTTTATTCTTCCTCCTTTCTTCACATGTGAATCTGTGCTTTTTCCCTGCAGGTTTATTTTTAGCTGAGAGGTTTTTCAGCACTTTTTTGGGAGCGTCGAAGCCATTAGCAGCAAATGCATTTGTGCTGATGCATTACTGACGTGGAGAGAGACACTTTCATCACCCTCGACAGAGCAACGACAGTGGACACCTGAAGAGAAAGACGACTGCTCCACTTACATCCTCCACATCGTCACTGTGAAAGAGCAGACGCTTGTGTGGTGCACATACACCCATGCTCGACCAATTACATAAAGAATCACACAAGTTCTTTGCATGACGTTTCTTTCATCAGACATTAACAGGGTTGTTACAAACCAGTCACTGACTGATGCTCCACCAACAGACAAAGCTCTACATCTTGCAATGTCATCTTTTATGAGGTATTTTCTTATAACAAATGTATATATACCAATGTATATTCCTCAAGCACCATGTAAACACCATGGTAATCATTAAGCATCTCTGCATTAGCATCTAAAATCGCTGAAACACTGTAACAGCACAGTATTTAAGGGTTATCTCACAGGCTGCCTTTCAAAACCTATTGAGCCGCCTACCTAGACAGCATTTATTATATAAATATGTCTATTATGCCCAAACATGAATCCTCATGTATGAAAGATCCTTGACTTGAGATGCTGTGGCACTAAAGTGTGAGAAATGTGTCGATGAAAAACAAGATCTGTTGTGTGTCCTCCACCCAAAAAAATGTTAAAAGGTGCTAACACATTTTGTCTGCTAATTTACATTCAGCAAGTCTTACTGGAATGCTTGTTTTCATTTTATTTCCAAGTCAATCCGCGTGTCTGTATCTGTTTGATTCAAAAATGGTTTTGCTCATAGAAATAAAGCTCAAAAAGTCAGAGTCTGCTGGGGCCAGTAAATCAGACAGATCACAACCTGGAGAAGCTTCTTCAGAGAACACAAAACAATCAGACTACTGACATTTAAGAGAGAGTGAAACATGAGTCAGAAAGAAAATGAAATGAAAAAAGGAAGAGTCATTTTGAGCATAAACCCAAAACATCAAAACCAGAAAAAAGTAATTCTAAAGCCGCTGCTCTGAAAAAATAAATAAAAAAGCACCACGAAAGCTGCATTTCCGAAGGCCTTGAGGCAGATGTTCTTCAGTTCAACGGCTAAGGAACTCTCCTCAAACGGACAAGGCCATAATTCTGCTGGAAAACATTCAGTGCTAGAATAAAAATAGAACTTAAAACATAAATGCTGGGATGCACGCCATCAAACCTCATAAGGCCAAGAAAGATACAATGACGAATGTGTGTGTGATCGAGCCGTTTAGATTTATTAGCGGTGTTTGTTAAGTCTAAGCATCACTATGTTCATACTCCCTAAAGTATTAAAGTTTGGCATGTTACTTATCTTGCACAGTTTGTACAATGGATATGAAAACACCACCAAAATCACCCTAGCAACCGTATATATATATATATAATATAATATACACACACTACCATTCAAATGTTTGGGGTCAGTAAGATTTTAATGTTTTTGAAAGAAGTCGCTTTTGGGTAAAATAAGTATTATTTGTGAAATATTATTACAATTGTAAATAACTGTTTTCTATTTTCTATGCTATTCTATAATGCATTTTATTGCTGTGATCAAAGCTGAATTTTCAGCATCATTACTCCAGTCTTCAGTGTCACATGATCTTTCAGAAATCAAATATGCTGATTTGCTGCTCAAGAAATATTTCTGATTATTATCAATGTTGAACACATTTTTGTGGAAACTGTGATACATTTTATTGTTCAGGATACTTTAATGAATAGAAAGTTCAAAAGAGCAGTATTTGTTTGAAATAGAATCTTTTGTAACATTATAACTGTCTTTACTTGAACTTTTGATAAATTTTATGTGCCCTTTGCTGAATAGAAGTATTAATTTCTTTAAAAAAAATACTGACCCCAAAATTTTGATGGCCGATAGCGTATAAAAATAAGCTTACACACACTTTGACGTCACTTCAATTAATGCTTTATATAAAACACTCATCTCTATGGAAACCAAGCTGCCGCTATTCTGAAACATGATGCACTTCCTTTAAAAAAATCTTGCCTTTCAGCTTCTTCCTTCTTCTTCTTGCCTGGGGTCCTTAATCTAAACCAGTAAGGCGTCTTGAATCTGCAGACAAAACCTGACCCAGATATCCACCTCATTTATTAACTGCTCACGTTCATCAATATGAACCATCGATTTAAATGAATTACTCATTTCCTGCAGTCATCTCACAACGGCCTCGCTTTATAAAACCCTAGCGGAAGCCGTTCATAGCTTTTCCAAATGCACTGTGCTGCAGCCTGACAAGAACGTACATACAGTATTAATGAAAGAAGACAGCAAGGACAGATCAGCTTTGCTAAATAGCAGGCAATAAATTCAAACACAATAGAGAAATGTTGTTAGCAATCAGCTCGGCCCCAATTAATGCTTTATATAAAACACTCATCTCTATGGAAACCAAGCTGCCGCTATTCTGAAACATGATGCACTTCCTTTAAAAAAATCTTGCCTTTCAGCTTCTTCCTTCTTCTTCTTGCCTGGGGTCCTTAACCTAAACCAGTAAGGCGTCTTGAATCTGCAGACAAAACCTGACCCAGATATCCACCTCATTTATTAACTGCTCACGTTCATCAATATGAACCATCGATTTAAATGAATTACTCATTTCCTGCAGTCATCTCACAACGGCCTCGCTTTATAAAACCCTAGCGGAAGCCGTTCATAGCTTTTCCAAATGCACTGTGCTGCAGCCTGACAAGAACGTACATACAGTATTAATGAAAGAAGACAGCAAGGACAGATCAGCTTTGCTAAATAGCAGGCAATAAATTCAAACACAATAGAGAAATGTTGTTAGCAATCAGCTCGGCCAGCTGTGACCTACATTTTGTGCTCTCAAAACCAAAATAATACAGCAATAAAATTCCCTGACTGCATTTAATTCTCATTCTCACCTATTAAACTAAACAAATCACTATAACGGTGTTCTCAGATGGTTTTTCCTGTGCTTTGTGGAGCTTTACAGCAGCAAGATTGTAAAAAGACAAATTAAAACACGTCAAGAGTAAGACTACAACAAGATACACTTAAAATGTGCTGTGAGCTATTTTAGACTCGAACTTCCATCATTCTGTTGGACCAAAGCAAAGCAAAGCAAAGCAAAGCAAAGCAAAGCAAAGCAAAACAAAACAAAACAAAACAAAACAAAACAAAACAAAAAAGCAAAGCAAAGCAAAGCAAAGCAAAACAAAACAAAACAAAAAACAAAAAAGCAAAGCAAAACAAAGCAAAGCAAAACAAAACAAAAAAGCAAAGCAAAGCAAAGCAAAACAACACAAAAAAGCAAAGCAAAGCAAAGCAAAGCAAAACAAAACAAAAAACAAAAAAGCAAAGCAAAACAAAGCAAAGCAAAACAAAACAAAAAAGCAAAGCAAAGCAAAACAACACAAAAAAGCAAAGCAAAGCAAAGCAAAGCAAAACAACACAAAAAAGCAAAGCAAAGCAAAACAAAACAAAACAAAACAAAACAAAAAAGAAAAGCAAAGCAAAGAAACACAAAACAAAACAAAACAAAAAAGCAAAGCAAAGCAAAGCAAAGCAAAGCAAAACAAAACAAAACAGCAAAACAAAACAAAGCAAAGCAAAGCAAAACAACACAAAAAAGCAAAGCAAAGCAAAGCAAAAGCAAAACAAAACAAAACAAAACAAAACAAAACAAAAAAGCAAAGCAAAACAAAACAAAACAAAACAAAACAAAAAAGCAAAACAAAGCAAAGCAAAGCAAAACAAAACAACACAAAAAAGCAAAGCAAAGCAAAAACTTTAAGACACTTAAAGTGAGTTCTCCAAAGATAAATCAGCAAACACAACGTCAGCAATCCTGAACATATAAAATTACTCACACACAGAATGTTTCTAGGTTTATCAGCTTTTATACAGGAGGAAAAACATTTTCTAAATCTTTTGTTGATGTCCAATTAAACTTGAGGATACTCATGTCCCATTTGGTAATATGGTTCATACTATAACAAGATTTGGGACAGTGATTGTTCAGGCTGGTACAACACACTCCTACTATTATTGATGTTACAAAATTAGCAATTTTCAATTTTGAGTTGATGCTTGGTAAAAAGATTTAATTAATAAATGAATGATCAAATAAACAAATAAATAAATACTTTTAAAAAATTACAGACGGCAAAGATTGAATGTTTTTGAAAACTAACCCAAATTAAAATAAAATAAAATAATATAATACTTACAACATCTGTAATGTGAAAATTACAGACTTCTAAAGGGAATTCTGATTTGATGTTTTTGATATAAATATAAAATTAAATTAAAACATGTTTTGTGAAAATTACAGACTCATAAATAGAGTTCTGATTTGATATTTATAAAATAAAATAAAATACAAAATAAAATAAAATAAAGACTGATCAATAATCACTCCTAAAGAGAGTTCTGACTGGATGTTATTGAAATATGAGCAGCCTATACTTGAAGAGAAGGAAAATCTGTATATAATATGTGACCAGATGACAGATAAGGGCAGACCAAAGGACAACCTGAGAGAGAGAGAGAGAGAGAGAGAGAGAGAGAGAGAGAGAGAGAGAGAGAGAGAGAGAGAGAGAGAGAGGGAGAAAAA